TGCCGTGTTTGGCACCGTCTCCGAGGCGATACCTGCCAAGCCACTCTCGACAGACATTCTGACCCGTCTCATACCCCCAGGCCTTCAGACGCACCTGCATATTCCGGTAGTCGAGGCCAAGGCCCAGGTCGGAGACCTCCTCTCGATACCGCTTGCCGCATGCCGCCTCTAGAGCCTCCACCGTCATCAGCGTCATACGAACCACATCTGTGGAGGAAGAAGCTGCCGTGGCCTGCTGCTTGGATACGGGCTCCTCCGCGTCGACCGCGGCAGGCCGTTTGGCCACGCGGGCAGATCCGGCGGCGGCTGGCCGTTTCAATACCCCGCCTGCGACCTGTGCCGCCGGGCGCTTCAATACACGCTTGGTGACGGCCTGGGCGGATGAAGCCGCCGCCTGCACTGAAGAGCTCACCGACGCATACGCATCGCACCACTGTCTCAACACTCCTCGGGACACCAAGACAGCTTTCCGTCGCATACGCAACACGGTATGCAAGGTGTGGTACTTCAGCCCTGGATATACCGCGCGCATGTGGTCACCAAGTGCCGCGTCGAGCTTTTCAGCCGTGTCATACTGCAAAGGTCCGGAGTCAGGGTGATACTTCACGTACCATTGCCTCAAAACCATACCGCTGACAGCGACGGGAGGGTCGCTCTCCGAGAGAATCTGCGAGAGGACCTCCGCGGCGGCCTCGTCGGCGAAGCTCTCCCGATACTGATTGAGTCGAAGACGCTGGCCTATACATTCCTCCACAGCTTGGGCAGTATTCAATGCTCCCTTGGCGCCCCACTCCGTGCTGAGCCACTTCTGACATACCCTGGCGTCAGCAGATACAGATAAATGTCCCAGGAGCCACTGCTTCAAGACGGCCCCGTCAGTAGTCCCCTCGGGCATGTCTGTGCGAATACGTTCTCCATACCAGGTCTCCAGATGGCCAGCGTTCTGCACTTTGACAAGCGTCTCTTTGGAAGAATACTGCAGTAGCCACATCTTTGCGACCCAATCTGTCACATGCAGTGGTGGATCCAACTGTCGGAGCGCCCCGCATAATTTGAAAGGTGTATTATACTCGATGCCCAGGTGGCGGATGGCAGAACCGTGCTGCTCCTCCAGCTCCTGGGCGCTAGAAATACTAACCTTGCCAGGCACAACCCGATACTTGCCCCACCAAGTCTTGCACGCCTGGTGACTGATCTGGATACCCTTTGCAACGAGCGCCTGATGCAAATAATACGGGCTCTCGCAGTCGGCCAAGGGAGGCCGCGACAGCTCCGGGCCATACTGCTCGTCAAGGGCTTTCGCCGTCAAAGCCATGGACCATCCAAGAACACAGGCGATACCTTGATCCGAGATGGCTACGGATGTGCCAGTGATCAGTCGGAGGCTTCCTGGGGCCGCTTGGGGTCCTCTTGGGGAAGGAGGGAAGCCTCCTGGCGCCGCTTGGGGTCCTCTTGAAGGGCTTTGGGGGGCTTCTTGGAACCATCTTGGGGCCTCTTGGGGGCTTATTGGATCCTCACGGCGGGCTCTTGGGGCCTCTTGAAGGCCTCCTGGGGCAACCTATGGCGCAACCAGTAGGGGGACGTTTTATTCTCGGCGGCCGAGGGCGCAACCTATGACGCAACCAATAGAGGGGCGTTTTATTCTCGGCGGCCGAGGGCGCAACATATGGCGCAACCGCAAGGGATTCTGGCCCCTGGCAGGCGCGCGAACCCCGTTGCAAAGATGCGAAAGTAGCTCGCGCGAGCTCATGTAACATAAATGTTGGAAAACCATTGGTTTTTTGAAAACGGACAGCGCGCGCGGGTGGAAATTTTGAAAAGTCGTGCAGGTGTTTTTCGAGGACCTACGGTGCGATTCGTGTGATTTTATGATGCGCGGTGCTAAAATTCTTAAAAACCCAATGATTTTTGGAGATTTCGGCGTGCGCGCGCGAAGAAAAAACGAATATGTCCCGCATGGTATTATTTGACAGGGATGATGGCCCTGGCAGGTGCGCAAACGTTGTCGCAGAAGTTCGAAAAAGTTGCTCGCAAAAGCCCGTTTGACAGAATTGTTTAAAAAGTGTTGTTTTTCCTACGAATCCGCAAGAGCGCGCGGAAGACATTTTGACAATTTTTTCTTAAAAAACCATTGGGTTTTTGATGTTTTTATGTTAAAATCGTTACGAAACCTAAGGTTTTGGAAGGATTTCGTCTTGCGCGCACGAATGTCCACTTTACCTTATTTTTTGCAAGGGATTCTTGCAATTTGATCAAGTAAGAACAAGAATTTTCATTTTATAGTGTTTTTTGCAAGGGAAAACGGAGTACAACAAAACAACCGGATCCGGTGACAATCGTTTTGCCTGAGACTTCCTCACGAAAATGATGAAAATGAGGCTGCGGCCTAGGCGCGGCGGGGGGGCCGTGCACCAGGGGTCCCAACAATAATTATTCTTTAGAAGTAATAATGTTCAACAGCAATAACAACAACAGCAACAGCAACAGCACGGACAACCACAACCACAACCACAACCACAACTACAACAACAACCACAACAACCATAACACCCACAACAACCAGAACAACAACAATATCAACAGCTACAGCAACAATCAGTTTAAGACTGTTCGCTCTTGTTTGCTCGCGTGTCATTCAACAGGTTTTTCCCCACATCCTGAGTCGGGTTTTTGTTTTCCCAGAACATCCTCTCCTTCTCCCTCCCGCCTCCCGCCTCCCATATCAATACCATGCCTACCATTCCAGCCTCCCATATCATACCATGCCTACCATTCCATACCATACCATACCTACCATACCATACCATACCATACCATACCATACCATACCATACCATACCATACCATACCATACCACACACTACCAAACAATACCATACCATACCATACCTACCATGCCAAACCACACCATACCATACCATACATACCACACAATACCGAACAACACCATACCATACCAACCATACTCTATAGCATACGTACCAAACCATACCACACCACACCATACCATACCTTCCATACAATACCATACCATACCTACCATACAATAGCATACCTACCATACGATACAATACCATACCACACATACCATACAATACCATACCAACCTACCCATGCAATACCATATCATACATACCTTACCATACCATACCCGCAAGAGCGAGCAGGGTATTGGAGTACCACACTATTTACCAAGTTTCGTGCCCCTCCCGCCCGTCCAGGGAGGCCCCGCCTGAGCGAGGAGGGTATCCGAAACCCGTACTATTTACATTGTTTCGTGCCCCTCCCACCCCTCCAGGGAGGCCCCGCCTGAGCGAGGAGGGTATCGGAAACCCATACTATTTACATGGTTTCGTGCCCCTCCCTCCCCTCCAACGAGGCCCCGCCTGAGCGAGGAGGGTATCGGAAACCCATACTATGTACATGGTTTCGTGCCCGTCCCACCCCTCCAGGGAGGCCCCGCCTGAGCGAGGAGGGTATCGGAAACCAATACTATTTACGTTGTTTCGTGCCCCTCCCACCCCTCCAGGGAGGCCCCGCCTGAGCGAGCAGGGTACCGGAAACCAATAGTATTTACAAGGTTTCGTGCGCTTCCCACCCCTCCAGGGAGGCCCCGCCTGAGCGAGGAGGGTATCGGAAACCAATACTATTTACATGGTTTCGTGCCTTGCCCACCTCTCCAGGGAGGCCCCGCCTGAGCGAGGAGGGTATCGGAAACCCGTACTATTTACATGGTTTCGTGCCCTTCCCACCTCTCCAGGGAGGCCCTGAGCGAGGAGGGTATCGGAAACCCGTACTATTTACATGGTTTCGTGCCCGTCCCACCCCTCCAGGGAGGCCCCGCCTGAACGAGGAGGGTATCGCAAACCCATACTATTTACATTGTTTCGTGCCCCTCCCTCCCCTCCAAAGAGGCCCCGCCTGAGCGAGGAGGGTATCGGAAACCAGTACTATTTACATTGTTTCGTGCCCCTCCCACCCCATCCAGGGAGGCCCCGCCTGAGCGCCCCGTCTGAGCGAGGAAGGTATCGGAAACCCACACTATTTAAGTGGTTTCGTGCCCCTCCCACTGACATGGGTGAGGAGGAGGGGAGGACATTACCTATCCATCTCACGTCCTACTCCTCCCACTGAGGAGGGTGAGGAGGAGGGGGAGTTCTGCGATGAGGAAGGCTTCATCATGATGATGGTGACGACGATGGTTATGCTGCTGTTCACGGTGACGATGACGATGGCGATAAAGGTGATGGACGATGACGATGGCGATAACGGCAATTATGATGATGATGATGATGATGATGATGATGATGATGATGATGATGATGATGATGATGATGATGATATGATGCTGATGATGACGACGATGATGATGATGATGACGATGACGATGATGACAACGACGACGACGACGAGGATGATGATGCAGATGCTGGTGATGATGACGATGTTGCTGCTGATGCTGACGTTGCTGGTGCTGTTGATGATGATGACGACGATGATGCTGATGATGATGACGTCCACGATGATGCGGACGATGATGCTGCCAAGGACGGTGATAATGATGACGATGATGATGATGATGATGACGATGATGGCGACGACGATGATGATGATGATGACGATGACGCTGACGATGATGATGATGATGATGATGCTGATGATGAGGATGATGATGATGATGATGATGGTGCTGATGATGATTGTTATGATGATGCCGATGGTGCTGACCCTGACGATGACGATGATGCTGATGATGATGACGATGATGCTGATGATGACGACGATGATACTGGTGATGATAATGATTATGATGATGATGATGATGATGATGATGATGATGATGATGATGATGATGATGATGATGATGATGATGATGATGATGATGATGATGCCGGGGATGAGGAGGACGAGGAGGAGGACGAGGAGGAGGACGAGGAGGAGGAGGAGGAGGAGGAGGAGGAGGAGGGACACGTGGGCCATGCAGGAAAGGAGTGCAGGACTGCGGACGCGGCGGGAGAACAGTAGCAGGGGATAGACAGATCGGCTCAAGTGCGCTGCCCCACCACCTGCTCCCTCACCCACGACACCATGACGGGCATATCCACCTAATCCTCCGGCGCTCAGCGCGAGTGCGTCTCGATGTTCCTCGTGGGTCAGCGGGTCCTTTACAGCTCTCCCACACACGCCCGCTACATGGACGCGGTCGTCATCGGCACCCTTCCAACGGCGACCTCGTCATCACCTTCACCGAGCCTGGTTTCGACCCCACCAACCTTAAGTTCGTCCCCAACTTGACCCTCGTGTCCCGCGTCGCCGGCTCCATCGCCCCGGCCACGCCGCCCAGCATGGAGCCGAAGACGGCCCCACCCACCAGGCCCTCCACCACCACCCAGAACCTTCGATGAGCTTCTCCTTCGCGTTGATGTTGTCGCACCCCATGGGTCCCACGAAACCCTTAATATCTTTACGTGGTGAACTCCGTTAGCATAATCCCCGAACCCTCGATCCCCGAACCCTCGATACCCGCCCTCTTCACCTTCGACCGTGCCTTCTTGGGGGTATATCTTTCTTACCTGCAGCGTGTCCTCGCAGAACCAGGCGGGCAGAACCAGACGGGCATATGGGGCGGGTAGACCCCAACAGGCGGGTCGGGAAGGAGGGCCCAGGCGGCCAGGTCGAACAGGCGGGTTTCCGAAGCGTGCGTCTTGCATAAATCGCGAGGAAGTGTAGAGCGACAGCGCGATTCCCAAATAAATCCTGCGGAGAAATCCACGGCGATATCATGATTCTTGAGTATGGAGGGCGCGGCGTCTGAGTAAATTGTGAGGAAGACCAACGCGAGAGGGCGATGTCTGCATCCATTGTGAGGAAGTCCCGCGCGAGAGCGCGATTTTGGAAGACGTCGTGGGCAAGTATCAGGCGGGAGCCGTTGTTGTTGTTGTTGTTGTCGTCGTCGTCGTCGTCGTCGTCGTCGTCGTCGCCGCCGTCGTCGTCGTCGTCGTCGTCGTCGTCGCGGTCGTCGTCGTCGTCGTTGAATTCGAATTTCTGAAGAATCATTCCCCAATCAGAGTTTGCCTCTGTAGGGGTCCTAGCGGATATAAAGCTGAGGTGAGGTGGGCGGCCGATTTCGGTGGCCGGGGCCGGGTGCCCCGGTGCCCCGGGGTTCCCGGGGGTGCCCGGGTGCCCAGGTGTGTAGCCGATTTCGGTGGCCGGGGCCGGGCGCCCGGGTGCCCGGGGGTGCCCGGGGGTGCCCGGGTGCCCAGGGGTGCCCGGGGTGCCCAGAAGTGCCCGGGGGTGCCTAGCCCAATAACCCTATATCCCTATAGCCCAATAGCCCAATCGCCATATATCCCTATAGCACTATAGCCCTGTAGCCCTATAGCCGTACCTATACGACCACCCTTCGGGTGATAAGGAGGTTCGGGGGGGGGGGAACCAACGTCTCACTCGATCGGTCTCAATATCGATCTCAGTATCGATCTCACTATCGGTCTCGCTCGATCGATCCCACTCGATCGATCTCACAATCGATCTCACTCGATCTATCGCATTCGATCGATCTCACACTTGATCTCACAATCGATCTCACAAGCGATCACACAATCGATCTCGCATTCGGTCTCAATATCGATCTCACTATCGATATCATCATCAACAACATCATCAACATCAACATCATCACCAACATCGCCATCATCGTGATGGCACCGTCATCATTATCATAAACATCAGCATCAACGTCAGCATCATCATCGGGACAACAGCGTCATCATCACCATCACCATCATCATCTTATCATAAACATCATCATCATCACCATCATCGGGACAGTCATCGTCATCATCATGAGCAGCATCAGCATAATCATCATCATCATAATCGGGACACCATCATGATCACCATCGTTCTCATCATCCACATTTTCATCAACATCGTCATCACACTCGGGACACCATCATCATGATCATCGCATCATCATCATCGACATCATCATCATCAACAACATCATCGTCATTGGGGCACCGTCATCATCATGAGCATCATCATCATCAACATCGTCATTCTCATTATTATCATCATCGGGACACCATCATCATCACCAACATCATCACCATCATCATCGTCAGCATCATCATCATCGGGACACCATAATCATCATCAACATCATCAGCAACAACATCATTATCGCCCGGACACCATTTCCATCAACATCATCGGCACCATCATCATCATCATCATCATCATCATCATAATCATCATCATCGGGACACCATCATCGTCATCATCATCAACATAATCACCATGTGCATCATCATCCTCATCATCGGGACACTAACATCATCATCGACACCACCATCAACATCATCATCATCTTCACCGGGACACCATCATCATCATCATCATCATCATCATTTCATCATCATCATTATCATCTCATCATCACCATCCTCGCGGGACACCGCGGGACACCGGCGGGACACCGCGGGACACCGCGGGACACCGCGGGACACCGCGGGACACCGCGGGACACTGGCGGGACACCGCGGGGCCCCGCGCCCCGGATGAGAAACATTTGGTCCGGCCGCGCCTCAGCCACAGGAGGACACCGCGGGACACCGGCGGGACACCGCGGGGCCCCGCGCCCCGGAAGAGAAACATTTGGTCCGGCCGCGCCTCAGCCACAGGAGACTTTTTCTCGCCCGCCCACGCAGCTTCGCCTCGCACGCACGGCACGCACGAACACGAAACCGAAACCGATTTCCCGGTGGGGGGCTCGCCGTTCCACCTCGATTTCACCCCCTCACCTCCGATAGCCCTATTGCCCAATAGCCCAATAACCCCATAGCCCCATAGCTCCATAGCCCCATAGCCCTATAGCCCTATAACCCTATAGCCGTATAGCCCTATGGTCCTGAAACCCTATAGCCGTATATATAGCCCGAAAGCCCGAATAGCCTTATAGCCCTTGGCTCTATAGCACTATAGCCCTGTAGCCCTATAGCCCCATAGCCCTAAAGGCTTCTAGCCCTATATCCCTATGGCCACATCGCCCTATAGCCCTATAGCCCCATAGCCCTAAAGCCCTATAGCCCCATAGCCCCCCCAAAATTCTGATTGGGGTTTTTCTCTGGTATCATTATTGTTGACCCCCCTTCTCCAGTGCATACTGTTTTTTTCCCCAATCAGAGCTTGCCTCTGTAGGGGTCCTAGCGAATCAAAGGATTAGGTGCGATGTGCGGCCGATTTCGGTGGCCGGGCCCGGGTGCCCGGGTGCCCGGGTGCCCGGGGTGCCCAATAGCCCAATAGCGTATAGCCCAATAGCCCTATAGCCCTATAGCCCTATAGTTCTACAGCCCCATAGCCCCTATAGCCCTATAGCCCGATAGCCCCATAGCCTTATAGCCCTATAGCTCTACAGCCCTACAGCCCTATAGCCTTATAACCCACTAGCCCAATAACCCAATAGCCCAATAGCCTCATAACCTTATAGATTTATAGTCCTACAGCCAGATACCCCCAACAAAAATCTGATTGGGTTTTTTTTCTCCGGTGTCATTCTCATTCATAGTGCGCTCCTCGACGTTCGCACCTTGTTTTTTTGACAGGGAATGTCTTGATGCTCAAACGGGGCCCCAGGCCCCTGGGTTACAACAACAACGGCTCCCGCTTGAGATTTCGTCACAATTCAGCCAGGACCCCCACTCCCGCCCGAGACCTCCTCGCATTTTATTCAGGAATCGCGCTCTCGCTTTGGACTTCCTTACAATTTATTCAGGAATCGCTCTCCCGGCGCTCTGGAGTCGCGCTCTCGTTGGAGACCCGCTTGCAGTTTACCGAAGAATGGCGCCCTTGCGTTGGAATGTCTTGCAAGTTGCTCAAGCGCCGCGCTCCCGACACCCAGGCACCCAGGAGTCGCGCCTGTTGTGGCCCCATGTGCATGCCCTTCGTGGCCCCGCTGTCGCCGTTTGTGGCCCCCTCACTGTCCTACGTGGCCCAGTTGCTACCCTCAGTGGCCCCATCGTTGCCTTCTGTGGCCCCGCATTATCTGCCCTTCGTGGCCCCCGCTCGTTCGCGCTCTTCGTGTCCCCATACGCATTCCCTTCGTGTCCCCGCTGTCGCCCTTCGTGGCCTAGTTCGTGTCCTTCTGCTGTCGTTCTCTCTCGCTCTCGTTCTCGCTTTCGCTCGTCGTCGCCGTCGTCGTCGTCGTCGCCGTCGACGTCGTCGTCGTCGTCGTCGTCGTGGTCGGTCCCCTGTCCGTCCCTCTTGGGGTCGGGTCGACGGTCCGCGGCCGCTTCCGATCAGCGCTGCCGCTGGCCAGGCCGACGGTCCGCGGCCCTCCCGCCGTTTGCCGGGGCCCGGCCTGCACAGAAGAAAGGTATACCCCCCAAAAGGGGTCCAATCGAACACGAAGAGGACGGGTATCGAGGGTTTGGGAAATACGCGTTATTGGACACTCGAGCAGATAGGGGCGAACAGTCTTAAAATGATTGTTGCTGTTGTTGTTGTTGTTGTTGTTGTTGTTGTTGTTGTTCTTGTTGTTGTTGTTCGTGTTGTTGTTGTTGTTGTTGTTGTTGTTGTTGAACTCTCACTCTTGAAGAATTATTATTGTTGATCCCCCCCCCCACCAGTGCACATTGTTTTTTTCGATTGAAGTGCCACCCCCGGGGCTCGCACCTTGTTTTTTCTCAAGGAAAGTCTTCCTGCTCAAACTGTGCCCCTGCCCCCCGGGCTACAACAACAACGGCTCCCGCCTGAGACTTCCTCGATTTTTACTCAGGACCCCCGCTCCCGCCTGAGACTTCCGCGCAATTTACTCAGGAAAGGCGCTCCCGTCTGAGACTTCCTCGCAATGTAATCAAGACCCCCGCTCCCGCCTGAGACTTCCGTGCAATTTACGTGGGAACGGCGCTCCCGCTTAAGACTTCTTCGAATTTTACTCAGGACCCCCGCTCCTGCCTGACATTTCCGCGCAATTGACTCAGGAACGGCGCTCCCGCCTGAGACTTCCTCGCAATTTAGTGAGGACCCCCGCTCCCGCCTGAGACTTCCGTGCAATTTGCTCAGGAACGGCGCTCCCGCTTGAGACTTCCTCGCAACTTAGTCAGGGCCCCCGCTTCCGCCCTGAGATTTCCTCACAATGTACTCAGGACTGCGCTCTCGCGTGCGACGTCCTCACAAATTATTCTGGAATTGCGTTTCGGCGCTCAGGAACCACGCGCGCGCCAAGGACGCCTTCACAACGTGGTATCTTCCCTCTTCCTTCGTCCTTCCCCCTCCCCTTCCTCCCACTCTCCCTCGTTCTTCCCCTCCTCCTCTTGCAGGGCCCGCGCCAATTCCAATGGCGGGCAGAGAGATGTACGCCCCCGAAGGATTGTCCGCCCGTTCCGGTTTGCCCGTACGTCTAAGCCCGCCGGCCCCAGCAAAGAGAAATAATCCCCCCGAAAGGGGTGTGATCGAAGACGAAGAGGGCGGGCATCGAGGGT